TGTCGCCTGTCAAATTGAGGGTAACCTGTTGTCAATGTCTCCCCTCCCGTTCAAATAGTTCACAGTTCATGGTTTCATTCATGTTGGTCTAGCCCTGTGAGCCATTCGCCTCTTGAATCGGGTGCAACAGCAACAAACTAAAAAACGTGAACAAGAGAAACATCTTAAAGCGATTACGTGTTGACTGTGCAAAACAGAAAATACAGGGGGAAAAATTATCAAGATATTCCTGAAATAGCTCCGCGTACACCAACTCTGTGTGCAAAAATCCCAGTGGGATGCAAGTCTAAATAACAACAACAACAACAACCACAAGACAACTTAGATTAAGGCCATCAGTCTAACTCCGTTACTACAACAACAACCACAAGACAACTTTAGATTAAGGCCATCAGTCTAACTCCGTTACTACAACAAGACAACTTAGATTAAGGCCATCAGTCTAACTCCGTTACTACAACAACAACAACCACAAGACAACTTAGATTAAGGCCATCAGTCTAACTCTGTACTACAACAACCACAAGACAACTTAGATTAAGGCCATCAGTCTAACTCCGTTACTACAACAACAACCACAAGACAACTTAATTTAAGGCCATCAGTCTAACTCCGTTACTACAACAACAACAACAAGACAACTTAGATTAAGGCCATCAGTCTAACTCCGTTACTACAACAACAACCACAAGACAACTTAGATTAAGGCCATCAGTCTAACTCCGTTACTACAACAACAACAACCACAAGACAACTTAGATTAAGGCCATCAGTCTAACTCCGTTACTACAATAACAACCACAAGACAACTTTAGATTAAGGCCATCAGTCTAACTCCGTTACTACAACAACAAGACAACTTTAGATTAAGGCCATCAGTCTAACTCCGTTACTACAACAACAACAACCACAATACAACTTAGATTAAGGCCATCAGTCTAACTCCGTTACTACAACAACAACCACAAGACCACTTAGATTAAGGCCATCAGTCTAACTCCGTTACTACAACAACAACCACAAGACAACTTAGATTAAGGCCATCAGTCTAACTCCGTTACTACAACAACAACCACAAGACAACTTAGATTAAGGCCATCAGTCTAACTCCGTTACTACAACAACAACAACCACAACAAGACAACTTTAGATTAAGGCCGTCAGTCTAACTCCGTTACTACAACAACAACCACATGACAACTTAGATTAAGGCCATCAGTCTAACTCCGTTACTACAACAACAACAACCACAAGACAACTTAGATTAAGGCCATCAGGCTAACTCCATTACTACAACAACAACCACAAGACAACTTAGATTAAGGCCATCAGTCTAACTCCGTTACTACAACAACAACCACAACAAGACAACTTAGATTAAGGCCATCAGTCTAACTCCGTTACTACTACAACAACAACAACAACCACAAGACAACTTAGATTAAGGCCATCAGTCTAACTCCGTTACTACAACAACAACCACAAGACAACTTAGATTAAGGCCATCAGTCTAACTCCGTTACTACAACAACAACAACCACAAGACAACTTAGATTAAGGCCATCAGTCTAACTCCGTTACTACAACAACAACCACCACAAGACAACTTAGATTAAGACCATCAGTCTAACTCCGTTACTACAACAACAACCACAATACAACTTAGATTAAGGCCATCAGTCTAACTCCGTTACTACAACAACCACAAGACAACTTAGATTAAGGCCATCAGTCTAACTCCGTACTACAACAACAACAACAAGACAACTTAGATTAAGGCCATCAGTCTAACTCCGTTACTACAACAACCACCACAAGACAACTTTAGATTAAGGCCATCAGTCTAACTCTGTACTACAACAACAACCACAAGACAACTTAGATTAAGGCCATCAGTCTAACTCCATTACTACAACAACAACCACAAGACAACTTAGATTAAGGCCATCAGTCTAACTCCGTTACTACAACAACAACAAGACAACTTAGATTAAGGCCATCAGGCTAACTCCGTTACTACAACAACAACCACAAGACAAATTAGATTAAGGCCATCAGTCTAACTCCGTTACTACAACAACAACAACCACAAGACAACTTAGATTAAGGCCATCAGTCTAACTCCGTTACTACAACAACCACAACAAGACAACTTAGATTAAGGCCATCAGTCTAATTCCGTACTACAACAACCACAAGACAACTTCGATTAAGGCCGTCAGTCTAACTCCGTTACTACAACAACAACCACAAGACAACTTAGATTAAGGCCATCAGTCTAACTCCGTACTACAACAACCACAAGACAACTTAGATTAAGGCCATCAGTCTAACTCCGTTACTACAACAACCACAACAAGACAACTTAGATTAAGGCCATCAGTCTAACTCCGTTACTACAACAACAACCACAAGACAACTTAGATTAAGGCCATCAGTCTAACTCCGTTACTACAACAACAACCACAAGACAACTTAGATTAAGGCCATCAGTCTAACTCCGTTACTACAACAACAACCACAAGACAACTTTAGATTAAGGCCGTCAGTCTAACTCCGTTACTACAACAACAACCACAAGACAACTTAGATTAAGGCCATCAGTCTAACTCCGTTACTACAACAACAACAACCACAAGACAACTTAGATTAAGGCCATCAGTCTAACTCCGTTACTACAACAACAACCACAAGACAACTAAGATTAAGGCCTTCAGTCTAACTCCGTTACTACAACAACAACCACAAGACAACTTTAGATTAAGGCCATCAGTCTAACTCCGTTACTACAACAACAACAAGACAACTTAGATTAAGGCCATCAGTCTAACTCCGTTACTACAACAACAACCACAAGACAACTTAGATTAAGGCCATCAGTCTAACTCTGTACTACAACAACAACCACAAGACAACTTAGATTAAGGCCATCAGTCTAACTCCGTTACTACAACAACCACAAGACAACTTAGATTAAGGCCATCAGTCTAACTCCGTTACTACAACAACAACAACCACAAGACAACTTAGATTAAGGCCATCAGTCTAACTCCGTTACTACAACAACAACAACCACAAGACAACTTAGATTAAGGCCATCAGTCTAACTCCATTACTACAACAACAACAAGACAACTAAGATTAAGGCCATCAGTCTAACTCCGTTACTACAACAACAACCACAAGACAACTAAGATTAAGGCCATCAGTCTAACTCCGTTACTACAACAACAACCACAAGACAACTAAGATTAAGGCCATCAGTCTAACTCCATTACTACAACAACAACAAGACAACTAAGATTAAGGCCATCAGTCTAACTCTGTACTACAACAACAACCACAACAAGACAACTTAGATTAAGGCCATCAGTCTAACTCCGTTACTACAACAACAACCACAAGACAAATTAGATTAAGGCCATCAGTCTAACTCCGTTACTACAACAACAACAACCAGAAGACAACTTAGATTAAGGCCATCAGTCTAACTCCGTTACTACAACAACAACCACAAGACAACTTAGATTAAGGCCATCAGTCTAACTCCGTTACTACAACAACAACAACCACAAGACAACTAAGATTAAGGCCATCAGTCTAACTCCGTTACTACAACAACAACCACAAGACAACTTAGATTAAGGCCATCAGTCTAACTCCGTTACTACAACAACAACAACCACAAGACAACTTAGATTAAGGCCATCAGTCTAACTCCGTTACTACAACAACAACAACCACAAGACAACTTAGATTAAGGCCATCAGTCTAACTCCGTTACTACAACAACAACAACCACAAGACAACTTAGATTAAGGCCATCAGGCTAACTCCGTTACTACAACAACAACAACCACAAGACAACTTAGATTAAGGCCATCAGTCTAACTCCATCACTACAACAACAACCACAAGACAACTTAGATTAAGGCCATCAGTCTAACTCCGTTACTACAACAACAACAACCACAAGACAACTTTAGATTAAGGCCATCAGTCTAACTCCGTTACTACAACAACCACAAGACAACTTAGATTAAGGCCATCAGTCTAACTCCGTTACTACAACAACAACAACCACAAGACAACTTAGATTAAGGCCATCAGTCTAAACTCCGTTACTACAACAACAACCACAACAAGACAACTTTAGATTAAGGCCATCAGTCTAACTCCGTTACTACAACAACAACCACAAGACAACTTTAGATTAAGGCCATCAGTCTAACTCCGTTACTACAACAACAACAAGACAACTTAGATTAAGGCCATCAGGCTAACTCCATTACTACAACAACAACAACCACAAGACAACTTAGATTAAGGCCATCAGTCTAACTCCGTTACTACAACCACAAGACAACTTAGATTAAGGCCATCAGTCTAACTCCGTTACTACAACAACAACAACCACAAGACAACTTAGATTAAAGCCATCAGTCTAACTCCGTTACTACAACAACTACAACCACAAGACAACTTAGATTAATGCCATCAGTCTAACTCCGTTACTACAACAACAACCACAAGACAACTTAGATTAAGGCCATCAGTTTAACTCCGTTACTACAACAACCACAAGACAACTTAGATTAAGGCCATCAGTCTAACTCCGTTACTACAACAACAACCACAAGACAACTTAGATTAAGGCCATCAGTCTAACTCCGTTACTACAACAACAACAACAACCACAAGACAACTAAGATTAGGCTATCAGTCTAACAATAAACTAACATAAATAAATTATAACACCAAAATCTAGAGCCATAATTCTAGGCCACTGAATTAGCAGTGGGCAGCTATAGGGTTGTACACAACTCAGAGCTCTAAGAGCAGTTTTGAGTGAAGATCTCATATAGCTGGCCTAAAAATAAAAACTCGAATCGCCCCCCAACACAGCCAACCCCCCGACAGGGGTGAGAAAAAAAACGCCGAGGGATTTGAAGTTTTAAAAAAAATTAAAAATTTAATTCACAAATCCGCCGAAAACGAACCTCGCTCGCCATGGACGCCATCTTTGGTGGGGGGGTTGGGGGTGATGACGGAAGTGACGTCGCGGGCGGCCGCGGTATGCTAATGAGGGGGTTGGGTGACGTCACGCGCGGTTATGGTAATGAGGCACCCGGGGAAAGTTCCTTCCCCCACCCCCCCCTCTCGACCCCTGGGACCCCCCCCGCTCTCGCCGCTGCGCGCGGAGGATGACGTCACGGCCGCGTGTGGAGGGCCCAATAATGTGGATGACGGCACATCCGTGTGTGGAGAGCCAATTGTGTGGATGACGTCACGGCCGCGCGAGAGAGCGAATTATATAGATGACGTCACGGCCACGTGAGGAATAAATAAATAACGTGGATGACGTCACGTCCACGTGCGGAGCGCAAAATGATGTGGATGACGTCACGGCCGCGTGCGGAGAGTAAAATGATGTAGATGACATCACGGCCGCGTGCGGAGAGTAAAATGATGTGGATGACGGCACAGCCGCGTGCGGAGAGCGAATGATGTAGATGACGTCACGATCACGTGCGTTGCGAATCATTCGATGACGTCAGAGTTAGTTTAATTTTCCCTGGCGACATTGTGCTTGATGACGTCAGAGCGGTTTCCTTTCCCTGAAGACGCCTTGTGTGATGACGCGCGCACGCATGGGGAAGCCAACGAGCGTGACGACGTCACCACGCTCGGAAATCTGTGTTACGTGACGACGTCACCACGCACGGAAAGCCCCGCCCCCACCCGAGCACGAAGACGTCACCACGCGCGGGAAGCCCAGCTCGTGCGTGATGACATCACCACGCACGAGAAGCCCCTCCCCCTATCGTGCGTGATGACGTCACCGCGCACGGTCACGCCCCCGGATAAAGGAAGCTGGAAACACAGCGAAGATCTTGGTGAGGAGATTTGAAATCTCAAATTTTTTTATTTAAATTTTTAACGACTTCTTACAGTAACGAGCTGCAATTATTACGTCTTAAATCATCGTCGTCATCATCATTTTAGTAATTATCAGTATCCTCATGATCATAATCATTATAATCACAACCACATTATCACAATCATCATTATCACTATCATCATAATCACAATCATAATCACCATCATGATCACAATCATAATAATAGTGGCGTAGCATTGCACTCACCCGTATCTGGGCTTCCCTTAGGTAGACTCAGCCTGATGGTGGTGGTGATGGTGGTGGTGATTGTGGTGGTGATTGTGGTGATGGTGATTGTGGTGATTGTGGTGGTGATGGTGGTGGTGATGGTGATTGTGGTGGTGATGGTGGTGGTGATGGTGGTGATGGTGGTGGTGATGGTGGTGGTGATGGTGGTGGTGATGATGGTGATTGTGATGGTGGTGGTGATGGTGGTGGTGATGGTGGTGGTGATGATGGTGATGGTGGTGATGGTGGTGGTGGTGATGGTGGTGGTGGTGATGGTGGTGGTGGTGATGGTGGTGGTGATGGTGGTGGTGATGGTGGTGGTGGTGATGGTGGTGGTGGTGATTGTGGTGGTGGTGGTGGTGATGGTGGTGATGGTGGTGGTGATGGTGGTGGTGGTGATGGTGGTGGTGGTGATGGTGGTGGTGATGGTGGTGATGGTGATGGTGGTGGTGATGGTGGTGGTGATGGTGGTGGTGGTGATGGTGGTGATGGTGATGGTGGTGATAGTGGTGGTGATTGTGGTGGTGATGGTGGTGATGGTGGTGATGGTGGTGGTGATGGTGGTGGTGGTGGTGATGGTGGTGGTGGTGATGGTGGTGGTGATGGTGGTGGTGATGGTGGTGGTGATGGTGATGGTGGTGATGATGGTGATGGCCACCCACCCCTCTCTCTGTGTGTGGTGACAACACTGCCCCTGGTAGACTTCATAGACGCTGCTGCTGCTACTCGCCACTACGAACAGCACTTGGCCCTGCAGTCTGTTAGAGGCTACACGGGGGATCTTTGTCTTTTTGTTTGTATGTGTGTGTGTCAGTGTGTGTGGTGTGTGTCAGAGGTGGGGCCTTACCATCAGCCCCACCAAAACTAAGCACCTGCCTGGGTATTTTGTACCATCGGACACTCCACCCCCACAACTCCCAATTGGTGATGGGGCAGTTGTGGAGAGAGTGGAGAGTTTCCCATACCTGGGCAGTGTGCTTATGACTGGCTCCAGTTTAACAGCAGAGGTCTCACTCCGAATCAGTCGAGCGGCAATATCTTTTCATCGGTTGCGTAACGCTGTGTGGAAGCTACCTGGTCTGTCGCTCCGCACTAAGCTTCAGGTCTTCTCGGCCACGGTCATTCCCTCCCTTCTCTACGCTTGCGAAACTTGGACCCCCCTAATGGAACATCTTCGCCGGTTAGAAACATTTAGGCTGACCTGCCTACGATCCATCCTGGGTTTAACCAGACTGGATTGTGTGAGGAGCTCACAAATCCTTGAAAGATCTGGGCAGGGTCCCATCGGTGAGCTCCTCCGGCAGGCAAGGCTGCGATGGCTGGGTCATGTAGCCCGCATGCCCAGCCACCGCATGCCGAAACAGCTTTTGTTTGGCCGGATTGAGGGGGCTAAGCGGGCGCGGCACGGGCTAGAGAAGAGATGGAGTGATGTGGTACAGGAGGACGTGGAGCTGAGTGGACTTGCCGATGACTGGTACCAGCGGTGTCAAGATCGGCCTCTGTGGAGGAGGCTCGTGAAGGATGCTACTGGGCAGTTGCAGGCAGTCGCCCTCCAACAACAACGGAGGGCGGAGGAGCGACGCTCACAACAATGAGCGGAGCGCCGGGTGGCTAAAGCACATCAGATGGCACAGTAGGGGGCACAGGTGGTGCATCAGCCAGTCATCTCAGTCAGTCGACCCGTGGCACCTGGGTCTGCCCAGTGACCTCCTGCCAGCGGGCGTTCGACACTTCACGTGGCCTCAAGGTGCACATGGCCTGGCACAAGCGTCGTAGTGACGTCACCGCCACTTAGTGGCGAATGGGGGTTGTTGTTGTGTCAGTGTGAGTGTGTGGTGTGTTGTATGGATGCGCCGATGCCAGAACAGCATGTTGCTAGTTACCAGCCCATGGGCTGCACAAAACTCTTAACAGCCTCCTACCGTTGTTATTGAGCTGATCTGGCCCATGCCCTCCAATCACTCCAGACCAGGTGCCAGCATCATGACCAACTCGGGCATTGAAGTCACCCAACAACAAGATGACTCTATCCCGAGGGGCCACTTTAGCCAGCACCTGTGACAGGAGGTCATAGAAGGCATCTGACTCATCGGCCTTGCCTGCATCCATCCACGGATGTTTGTCTTCGGTGGGGGCATAAGTAACCACGACCACCATTCCTCGCCTCCGGTTGATGGGAAGGCGAGCCCAAAGTAGCCTGGGGCTTACAGCTTCCCACCGGTGTGTCGAAGAGTGAATCCACAACATTTACAATGTTTGAGTCCGACGTTTCGCTGGTGAATACATCCAGCATCAGGAACAACAACAACAAAAAGTGTCACGTTGACAAAAGACGCAAACTAGTTCACTACTTTAGCCCACACACCGGTGTGTCGAAGAGTGAATCCACAACATTTACAATGTTTGAGCATGACGTTTCGCTGGTGAATACATCCAGCATCAGCAACAACAACAAAAATTGGTCACGTTGACAAAAGACGCAAACTAGTTCACTACTTTAGCCACACACCGGTGTGTCGAAGAGTGAATCCACAACATTTACAATGTTTTAGCACGACGTTTCGCTGGTAAATACATCCAGCATCAGCAACAACAACAAAAAGTGTCACGTTGACAAAAGACACAAACTAGTTCACTACTTTAGCCACACACCGGTGTGTCGAAGAGTGAATCCACAACATTTACAATGTTTGAGTATGCCGTTTCGCTGGTAAATACATCCAGCATCAGCAACAACAAAAGACACAAACTAGTTCACTACTTTAGCCACACACCGGTGTGTCGAAGAGTGAATCCACAACATTTACAATGTTTTAGCACGACGTTTCGCTGGTAAATACATCCAGCATCAGCAACAACAACAAAAATTGGTCACGTTGACAAAAGACGCAAAATAGTTAACTACTTTAGCCCACCGGTGTGTCGAAGAGTGAATCCACAACATTTACAATGTTTGAGCGTGACGTTTCGCTGGTAAATACATCCAGCATCAGCAACAACAAAAGACACAAACTAGTTCACTACTTTAGCCACACACCGGTGTGTTGAAGAGTGAATCCACAACATTTACAATGTTTGAGTCATAGTGCTGTGCCGTTTCGCTGGTAAATACATCCAGCATCAGCAACAACAACAACAAAAATTGGTCACGTTGACAAAAGACGCAAAATAGTTCACTACTTTAGCCCACCGGTGTGTCGAAGAGTGAATCCACAACATTTACAATGTTTGAGTACGGCGTTTCGCTGGTAAATACATCCAGCATCAGCAACAACAAAAGACGCAAACTAGTTCACTACTTTAGCCACACACCGGTGTGTTGAAGAGTGAATCCACAACATTTACAATGTTTGAGCATGACGTTTCGCTGGTAAATACATCCAGCATCAGCAACAACAAAAGACACAAACTAGTTCACTACTTTAGCCCACCGGTGTGTCGAAGAGTGAATCCACAACATTTACAATGTTTGAGTGCGACGTTTCTCTGGTAAATACATCCAGCATCAGCAACAACAACAAAAATTGGTCACGTTGACAAAAGACGCGAGATGGTTCATTACTTTAGCCACACACCGGTGTGTCGAAGAGTGAATCCACAACATTTACAATGTTTGAGTATGCCGGTTCGCTGGTAAATACATCCAGCATCAGCAACAACAAAAGACACAAACTAGTTCACTACTTTAGCCACATACCGGTGTGTCGAAGAGTGAATCCACAACATTTACAATGTTTGAGAGCGACGTTTCGCTGGTGAATACATCCAGCATCAGCAACAACAACAACAAAAATTGGTCACGTTGACAAAAGACGCAAAATAGTTCACTACTTTAGCCCACCGGTGTGTCGAAGAGTGAATCCACAACATTTACAATGTTTGAGCACGGCGTTTCGCTGGTAAATACATCCAGCATCAGCAACAACAAAAGACGCAAACTAGTTCACTACTTTAGCCACACACCGGTGTGTCGAAGAGTGAATCCACAACATTTACAATGTTCGAGTCATGGTGCTGTGCCGTTTCGCTGGTAAATACATCCAGCATCAGCAACAACAAAAGACACAAACTAGTTCACCACTTTAGCCCACCGGTGTGTCGAAGAGTGAATCCACAACATTTACAATGTTTGAGCACGACGTTTCGCTGGTAAATACATCCAGCATCAGCAATAACAAAAGACGCAAACTAGTTCACTACTTTAGCCACACACCGGTGTGTCGAAGAGTGAATCCACAACATTTACAATGTTTGAGCGCGACGTTTCTCTGGTAAATACATCCAGCATCAGCAACAACAACAAAAATTGGTCACGTTGACAAAAGACGCAAACTAGTTCACTACTTTAGCCACACACCGGTGTGTCGAAGAGTGAATCCACAACATTTACAATGTTTGAGTGCAACGTTTCGCTGGTGAATATATCCAGCATCAGCAACAACAAAAGACGCAAACTAGTTCACTACTTTAGCCACACACCGGTGTGTCGAAGAGTGAATCCACAACATTTACAATGTTTGAGAGCGACGTTTCGCTGGTAAATACATCCAGCATCAGCAATAACAAAAGACACAAACTAGTTCACTACTTTAGCCCACCGGTGTGTCGAAGAGTGAATCCACAACATTTACAATGTTTTAGCACGACGTTTCGCTGGTGAATACATCCAGCATCAGCAACAACAACAACAAAAAGTGTCACGTTGACAAAAGACACAAACTAGTTCACTACTTTAGCCCACCGGTGTGTTGAAGAGTGAATCCACAACATTTACAATGTTTGAGTCCGACGTTTCGCTAGTAAATACATCCAGCATCAGCAACAACAAAAGACGCGAGATGGTTCGCTACTTTAGCCACACACCGGTGTGTCGAAGAGTGAATCCACAACATTTACAATGTTTGAGCACGACATTTCGCTAGTAAATACATCCAGCATCAGCAACAACAAAAGACACAAACTAGTTCACTACTTTAGCCCACACACCGGTGTGTTGAAGAGTGAATCCACAACATTTACAATGTTTGAGTCCGACGTTTCGCTGGTAAATACATCCAGCATCAGCAACAACAAAAGACACAAACTAGTTCACTACTTTAGCCACACACCGGTGTGTCGAAGAGTGAATCCACAACATTTACAATGTTTGAGTCCGACGTTTCGCTGGTAAATACATCCAGCATCAGCAACAACAACAACAAAAATTGGTCACGTTGACAAAAGACGCAAACTAGTTCACTACTTTAGCCCACCGGTGTGTCGAAGAGTGAATCCACAACATTTACAATGTTTGAGTATGCCGTTTCGCTGGTAAATACATCCAGCATCAGCAACAACAACAACAACAAAAAGTGTCACGTTGACAAAAGACGCAAACTAGTTCACTACTTTAGCCACACACCGGTGTGTCGAAGAGTGAATCCACAACATTTACAATGTTTGAGTATGCCGGTTCGCTGGTAAATACATCCAGCATCAGCAACAACAAAAGACACAAACTAGTTCACTACTTTAGCCACACACCGGTGTGTCGAAGAGTGAATCCACAACATTTACAATGTTTTAGCACGACGTTTCGCTGGTAAATACATCCAGCATCATCGTCGTCGGGCAATCCGCCGGAATGGCAAATCCCTCTCCGCTCGCTCCCCGGGTTTTACGTGTATATACATGTAGCGGCAACAGGGTGACGTAATCACTTAACTCATACCTACGTGCTAAACAAACATCTGACTGTTTTTGTTTACACGTGTATATTTACGCCCGTTATTGGTGGCGAATCAGCCGTGCGTGCGATGACGCGATGGCCCGCTAGCCTGTCGTGATTTGGTGCCTGGGAACCCACCCGTGTCATTGTGGGCGGTGTCTGTGTGTGTGTGTGCGTGGTTGGCACTTTGGGCCCGGTTTTTTTTCTCTATCTCTCTCTATCTCTCTCTCTTGTCTCTCTCTTGTCTCTGTCTCTTGTCTCTCTCTTGTCTCTCTCTTGTCTCTCTCTCTCTCTTATCTCTCTCTTGTCTCTCTCTTGTCTCTCTCTTGTCTCTCTCTTATCTCTCTCTTGTCTCTCTCTTGTCTCTCTCTCTTGTCTCTCTCTTGTCTCTCTCTTGTCTCTCTCTCTTGTCTCTCTCTTGTCTCTCTCTTGTCTCTCTCTTATCTCTCTCTTGTCTCTCTCTTGTCTCTCTCTTGTCTCTGTCTTGTCTCTCTCTTGTCTCTCTCTCTTGTCTCTCTCTTATCTCTGTCTTATCTCTCTTGTCTCTCTCTTGTCTCTCTTGTCTCTCTCTTGTCTCTCTCTCTCTTATCTCTCTCTTGTCTCTCTCTTGTCTCTCTCTTATCTCTCTCTTGTCTCTCTCTCTTATCTCTCTCTTGTCTCTCTCTTGTCTCTCTCTTGTCTCTCTCTTATCTCTCTCTTGTCTCTCTCTCTTGTCTCTCTCTTGTCTCTCTCTTGTCTCTCTCTTGACTCTCTCATGTCTCTCTCTTGTCTCTCTCTTGTCTCTCTCTTGTCTCTCTCTTGTCTCTCTCTTGTCTCTCTCTCTTGTCTCTCTCTCTTGTCTCTCTCTTGTCTCTCTCTTGTCTCTCTCTTAGCTCTCCCTTATCTCTCTCTTGTCTCTCTCTCTTGTCTCTCTCTTAGCTCTCTCTTGTCTCTCTCTCTTGTCTCTCTCTCTCTATCTCTCTCTTATCTCTCTCTTATCTCTCTCTTGTCTCTCTTGTCTCTCTCTCTCTTGTCTCTCTCTCTCTATCTCTCTCTCCCCGCTGCAGGTTCTAATTGCGGGAGAGGTCCCTCGATGATTTTGTACGCCTGTGTTGACGGCGGCGGGTTGGGGGGGTTCCACCGTGGACGGGGTCGCCGGCCTTCAGCGCGGATTTTGGGTGTGGGCTTAGCCCGTTGGCGACGCTCCAAATTGTCTCAGCGGAACCGCCCAGGGCATTTTTGCTACTGGGTAATAAATGATTTTCAAAGTCAAAGTCTCTTGTCTGTGTCTCTCTTGTCTCTCTGTCTTGTGTCTCTGTCTTGTGTCTCTGTCTTGTGTCTCTCTCTTGTGTCTCTGTCTTGTCTCTCTCTCTAGTGTCTCTGTCTTGTCTCTCTCTTATCTCTCTCTTGTCTCTCTCTCTAGTGTCTCTCTCTTGTGTCTCTCTAGTGTCTCTGTCTTGTCTCTCTCTTGTGTCTCTGTCTTGTCTCTCTCTAGTGTCTCTGTCTTGTCTCTCTCTTATCTCTCTCTTATCTCTCTCTTATCTCTCTCTTGTCTCTCTCTTGTCTCTCTCTCTTGTCTCTCTCTTGTCTCTGTCTTGTCTCTCTCTCTTATCTCTCTCTTATCTCTCTTATCTCTCGCTTGTCTCTCTCTTGTCTCTCTCTCTTATCTCTCTCTTATCTCTCTTATCTCTCTCTTGTCTCTCTCTTGTCTCTCTCTTATCTCTCTCTTATCTCTCTCTTGTCTCTCTCTCTTGTCTCTCTCTCTTGTCTCTCTCTTGTCTCTCTCTTGTCTCTCTCTTATCTCTCTCTTGTCTCTCTCTTGTCTCTCTCTTATCTCTCTCTCTTGTCTCTCTCTTATCTCTCTCTTATCTCTCTCTTGTCTCTCTCTCTCTTATCTCTCTCTTGTCTCTCTCTTGTCTCTCTCTTGTCTCTCTCTTATCTCTCTCTTGTCTCTCTCTTGTCTCTCTCTTGTCTCTCTCTTATCTCTCTCTCTATCTCTCTCTCTTGTCTCTCTCTCATCTCTCTCTCTCTTGTCTCTCTCTTGTCTCTCTCTCTCTTGTCTCTGTCTTGTCTCTCTCTTGTCTCTCTCTCTTATCTCTCTCTTGTCTCTCTCTTATCTCTCTCTTGTCTCTCTCTTGTCTCTCTCTTGTCTATTATCTCTCTCTCTTGTCTCTCTCTTGTTTCTTTCTTGTCTCTCTCTTATCTCTCTCTTGTCTCTCTCTTATCTCTCTCTTGTCTCTCTCTCTCTATCTCTCTCTCCCCGCTGCAGGTTCTAATTGCGGGAGAGGTCCCTCGATGATTTTGTACGCCTGTGTTGACGGCGGCGGGTTGGGGGGGTTCCACCGTGGACGGGGTCGCCGGCCTTCAGCGCGGATTTTGGGTGTGGGCTTAGCCCGTTGACGACGCTCCAAATTGTCTCAGCGGAACCGCCCAGGGCATTTTTGCTACTGGGTAATAAATGATTTTCAAAGTCAAAGTCTCTTGTCTCTGTCTCTCTTGTCTCTCTGTCTTGTCTCTCTGTCTTGTGTCTCTGTCTTGTGTCTCTCTTGTCTCTCTCTTGTCTCTCTCTTATCTCTCTCTTGTCTCAATCTTGTCTCTCTCTTGTCTCTCTCTTGTCTCTCTTGTCTCTCTCTTGTCTCTCTCTTGTCTCTCTCTCTTATCTCTCTCTTGTCTCTCTCTTGTCTCTCTCTTGTCTCTCTCTCTTATCTCTCTTGTCTCTCTCTTGTCTCTCTCTCTTGTCTCTCTCTTGTCTCTCTCTTGTCTCTCTCTTGTCTCTTATCTCTCTCTTATCTCTCTCTTGTCTCTCTCTTGTCTCTCTCTTGTCTCTCTCTCTCTTGTCTCTCTCTCTTGTCTCTCTCTCTTGTCTCTCTCTTGTCTCTCTCTTGTCTCTCTCTTGTCTCAATCTTGTCTCTCTCTTGTCTCTCTCTTATCTCTCTCTTATCTCTCTCTTGTCTCTGTCTTGTCTCTCTCTTTTATCTCTCTCTTGTCTCTCTCTTGTCTCTCTCTTATCTCTCTCTTGTCTCTCTCTTGTCTCTCTCTTGTCGCTCTCTTGTCTCTCTCTTGTCTCTCTCTTGTCTCTCTTGTCTCTCTCTTGTCTCTCTCTTGTCTCTCTCTTATCTCTCTGTCTTGTCTCTCTCTTGTCTCTCTCTTGTCTCTCTCTTATCTCTCTTGTCTCTTATCTCTCTTGTCTCTCTCTTGTCTCTCTCTCTATCTCTCTCTCTTGTCTCTCTCTCTCTATCTCTCTCTCCCCGCTGCAGGTTCTAATTGCGGGAGAGGTCCCTCGATGATTTTGTACGCCTGTGTTGACGGCGGCGGGTTGGGGGGGTTCCACCGTGGACGGGGTCGCCGGCCTTCAGCGCGGATTTTGGGTGTGGGCTTAGCCCGTTGACGACGCTCCAAATTGTCTCAGCGGAACCGCCCAGGGCATTTTTGCTACTGGGTAATAAATGATTTTCAAAGTCAAAGTCTCTTGTCTCTGTCTCTCTTGTCTCTCTGTCTTGTGTCTCTCTCTCTTGTCTCTCTTGTGTCTCTGTCTTGTCTCTGTCTTGTCTCTCTCTTGTCTCTCTCTCTCTTGTGTCTCTGTCTTGTCTCTCTCTTGTGTCTCTGTCTTGTCTCTCTCTTGTGTCTCTCTCTTGTCTCTCTCTTGTCTCTCTGTCTTGTCTCTCTCTCTTGTGTCTCTCTAGTGTCTCTGTCTTGTCTGTCTCTTGTCTCTCTCTCTTGTCTCTCTGTCTTGTCTCTGTCTTCTCTCTCTCTTGTGTCTCTCTCTTGTCTCTCTCTTGTGTCTCTGTCTTGTCTCTCTCTTGTGTCTCTGTCTTGTCTGTCTCTTGTCTCTCTCTCTTGTCTCTCTCTTGTCTCTCTCTTGTCTCTCTCTTGTCTCTCTCTTATCTCTCTTGTCTCTCTCTTGTCTCTCTCTCTCTCTCTTATCTCTCTCTTGTCTCTCTCTTGTCTCTCTCTTGTCTCTCTCATCTCTCTCTTGTCTCTCTCTCTTGTCTCTCTCTCTTGTCTCTCTCTTGTCTCTCTTGTCTCTCTCTTGTCTCTCTCTTATCTCTCTCTTGTCTCTCTCTTGTCTCTCTCTCTTGTCTCTTATCTCTCTCTCTCTTGTCTCTCTCTTGTCTCTCTCTTATCTCTCTCTTATCTCTCTCTCTCTCTTTATCTCTCTCTCCCCGCTGCAGGTTCTAATTGCGGGAGAGGTCCCTCGATGATTTTGTACGCCTGTGTTGACGGCGGCGGGTTGGGGGGGTTCCACCGTGGACGGGGTCGCCGGCCTTCAGCGCGGATTTTGGGTGTGGGCTTAGCCCGTTGACGACGCTCCAAATTGTCTCAGCGGAACCGCCCAGGGCATTTTTGCTACTGGGTAATAAATGATTTTCAAAGTCAAAGTCTCTTGTCTGTGTCTCTCTTGTCTCTCTGTCTTGTCTCTCTGTCTTGTGTCTCTGTCTTGCGTCTCTGTCTTGTCTCTCTCTTGTCTCTCTCTAGTGTCTCTGTCTTGTCTCTCTCTTATCTCTCTCTCTTATCTCTCTCTTGTGTCTCTCTAGTGTCTCTCTCTTGTCTCTCTCTCTTGTGTCTCTGTCTTGTCTCTCTCTTGTGTCTCTCTCTTGTGTCTCTCTTGTCTCTCTCTTGTCTCTCTCTTGTGTCTCTCTTGTCTCTCTCTTGTCTCTCTCTTATCTCTCTCTTGTCTCTCTCTCTTGTCTCTCTCTTGTCTCTCTCTTGTCTCTCTCTTGTCTCTTATCTCTCTCTCTTGTGTCTGTCTTGTCTCTCTCTTATCTCTCTCTTGTCTCTCTCTTGTCTCTCTCTTATCTCTCTCTTGTCTCTCTCTCTCTCTCTTATCTCTCTCTTGTCTCTCTCTTATCTCTCTCTTATCTCTCTCTCTCTCTATCTCTCTCTCCCCGCTGCAGGTTCTAATTGCGGGAGAGGTCCCTCGATGATTTTGTACGCCTGTGTTGACGGCGGCGGGTTGGGGGGGTTCCACCGTGGACGGGGTCGCCGGCCTTCAGCGCGGATTTTGGGTGTGGGCTTAGCCCGTTGACGACGCTCCAAATTGTCTCAGCGGAACCGCCCAGGGCATTTTTGCTACTGGGTAATAAATGATTTTCAAAGTCAAAGTCTCTTGTCTGTCTCTCTTGTCTCTCTGTCTTGTCTCTCTCTAGTGTCTCTCTAGTGTCTCTGTCTTGTCTCTGTCTTGTCTCTCTCTTGTCTCTCTCTTGTCTCTCTCTTAGCTCTCTCTTATCTCTCTCTTGTCTCTCTCTCGCTTGTCTCTGTCTTGTCTCTCTCTTATCTCTCTCTTGTCTCTCTCTTATCTCTCTCTTGTCTCCCTCTCTTGTATCTCTCTTGTCTCTCTCTTTTCTCTCTCTCTTGTCTCTCTCTTGTCTCTCTCTTATCTCTCTCTTGTCTCTCTCTTATCTCTCTCTTGTCTCTCTCTTGTCTCTCTCTTGGCTCTGTCTTGTCTCTCTCTTAACTCTCTCTCTTGTGTCTCTCACTTATCTCTCTCTTATCTCTCCCCCCCTCCCTTATTCTGCCGCTGTCTCTCAAAGTGTAGTTGTGGCCTCTGACTACGCGGACACTACAGGGTGGGTGACGTGCCAATTGTACCCCCCACCCACCCCCACTCCCCCCACTCCACCCACTCCACCCACCCCACTCCACCCACTCCACCCACTCCACACTCCACCCACTCCATCCACTCCCCCCACTCCACCCACTCCCCCCACTCCAGCCACTCCACCCACCCACTCCACCCACTCCACCCACTCCCCCACCCACCCACTCCCCCCACTCCACCCACTCCGACTCCACCCACTCCCTACTCCACCCACTCCCTACTCCACCCACTCCACCGACTCCACCCACTCCCCCACTCCACCCACTCCACCCACTCCGACTCCACCCACTCCGACTCCACCCACCCACCCCCACTCCACCCACTCCACCCACTCCCACTCCCCACTCCCCCCACTCCACCCACTCCACTCCCCCCACTCCACCCATTCCACCGACTCCACCCACTCCACCCACTCCGACTCCACCCACTCCATCCACTCCACCCACTCCGACTCCACCCACTCCACCCACTCCCTACTCCACCCACTCCACCCACTCCGACTCCACCCACTCCACCCACTCCACCCACTCCGACTCCACCCACTCCATCCACTCCCCCCACCCACCCCCACTCCACCCACTCCACCCACTCCGACTCCACCCACTCCACCCACTCCACCCACTCCGACTCCACCCACTCCATCCACTCCCCCCACTCCCCCACTCCCCCACTCCCCCCACTCCACCCACTCCCCCCTCCCCCCACTCCCCCCACTCCCCCCACTCCCCCACTCCCCCACTCCCCCCACCCACTCCCACTCCCCACTCCCCCCACTCCACCCACTCCACCCACTCCCCCCTCCCCCCACTCCCCCCACTCCCCCCACTCCCCCACTCCCCCACTCCACCCACTCCCCCCACTCCGACTCCACCCATTCCACCCACTCCACCCACTCCCCCCTCCCCCCCCTCCCCCCACTCCCCCCACTCCCCCCACTCCCCACTCCCCCACTCCCCCCACTCCGACTCCACCCACTCCCAACTCCCCCCACTCCCCCCACTCCCCCCACTCCACCCACTCCACCCACTCCCCCCACTCCACCCACTCCACCCACTCCACGCACTCCCCCCACTCAACCCACTCCACCTACTCCACCCACTCCGACTCCACCCACTCCACCCACTCCACCCACTCCCCCCACCCACCCCCACTCCACCCACTCCACCCACTCCGACTCCACCCACTCCACCCACTCCACCCACTCCACCCACTCCCCCCACCCACCCCCACTCCACCCACTCCACCCACTCCGACTCCACCCACTCCACTCCCCCCACCCACCCCCACTCCACCCACTCCACCCACTCCGACTCCACCCACTCCACCCACTCCACCCACTCCCCCCACCCACCCCCACTCCACCCACTCCACCCACTCCGACTCCACCCACTCCACCCACTCCACTCCCCCCACCCCCACTCCACCCACTCCACCCACTCCGACTCCACCCACTCCACCAACTCCACCCACTCCGACTCCACCCACTCTACCCACTCCGACTCCACCCACTCCACCCACTCCACCCACCCACCCACTCCACCCACTCAACCCACTCCCCCCACTCCCCACACTCCCCCACTCCACCCACTCCCACTCCACCCACTCCACCCACTCCACCCACTCCCTCCTCCCCCACTCCCCCACTCCCCCTCCACCCACTCCCACTCCACCCACTCCCTCCTCCCCCACTCCACCCACTCCCCCCTCTCCCACCCACCAATACTCTCCCCACTCCCCCCACTCCACCCACTCAACCCACTAAACCCACTAAACCCACTCCACCCACTCCCCACTCCCCCCACTCCACCCACTCCACCCACTCCACCCACTCCACCCACTCCCACTCCACCCACTCCACCCACTCCACTCACTCCCCCCACTCCACCCACTCCACCCACTCCACCCACTCCCCCACCCACCCACTCCCCCCACTCCACCCACTCCGACTCCACCCACTCCCTACTCCACCCACTCCCTACTCCACCCACTCCACCGACTCCACCCACTCCCCCACTCCACCCACTCCACCCACTCCGACTCCACCCACTCCGACTCCACCCACCCACCCCCACTCCACCCACTCCACCCACTCCCACTCCCCACTCCCCCCACTCCACCCACTCCACTCCCCCCACTCCACCCACTCCACCGACTCCACCCACTCCACCCACTCCGACTCCACCCACTCCATCCACTCCACCCACTCCGACTCCACCCACTCCACCCACTCCCTACTCCACCCACTCCACCCACTCCGACTCCACCCACTCCACCCACTCCACCCACTCCGACTCCACCCACTCCATCCACTCCCCCCACCCACCCCCACTCCACCCACTCCACCCACTCCGACTCCACCCACTCCACCCACTCCACCCACTCCGACTCCACCCACTCCATCCACTCCCCCCACTCCCCCACTCCCCCACTCCCCCCACTCCACCCACTCCCCCCTCCCCCCACTCCCCCCACTCCCCCCACTCCCCCACTCCCCCACTCCCCCCACCCACTCCCACTCCCCACTCCCCCCACTCCACCCACTCCACCCACTCCCCCCTCCCCCCACTCCCCCCACTCCCCCCACTCCCCCACTCCCCCACTCCCCCCTCCCCCCACTCCCCCCACTCCCCCCACTCCCCCACTCCACCCACTCCCCCCACTCCGACTCCACCCATTCCACCCACTCCACCCACTCCCCCCTCCCCCCCCTCCCCCCACTCCCCCCACTCCCCCCACTCCCCCACTCCCCCACTCCCCCCACTCCGACTCCACCCACTCCCAACTCCCCCCACTCCCCCCACTCCCCCCACTCCACCCACTCCACCCACTCCCCCCACTCCACCCACTCCACCCACTCCACGCACTCCCCCCACTCCACCCACTCCACCTACTCCACCCACTCCGACTCCACCCACTCCACCCACTCCACCCACTCCCCCCACCCACCCCCACTCCACCCACTCCACCCACTCCGACTCCACCCACTCCACCCACTCCACCCACTCCCCCCACCCACCCCCACTCCACCCACTCCACCCACTCCGACTCCACCCACTCCACTCCCCCCACCCACCCCCACTCCACCCACTCCACCCACTCCGACTCCACCCACTCCACCCACTCCACCCACTCCCCCCACCCACCCCCACTCCACCCACTCCACCCACTCCGACTCCACCCACTCCACCCACTCCACTCCCCCCACCCCCACTCCACCCACTCCACCCACTCCGACTCCACCCACTCCACCAACTCCACCCACTCCGACTCCACCCACTCTACCCACTCCGACTCCACCCACTCCACCCACTCCACCCACCCACCCACTCCACCCACTCAACCCACTCCCCCCACTCCCCACACTCCCCCACTCCACCCACTCCCACTCCACCCACTCCACCCACTCCACCCACTCCCTCCTCCCCCACTCCCCCACTCCCCCTCCACCCACTCCCTCCTCCCCCACTCCACCCACTCCCCCCTCTCCCACCCACCAATACTCTCCCCACTCCCCCCACTCCACCCACTCAACCCACTAAACCCACTAAACCCACTCCACCCACTCCCCACTCCCCCCACTCCCCCCACTCCACCCACTCCACCCACTCCACCCACTCCCACTCCACCCACTCCACCCACTCCACTCACTCCCCCCCCTCCCCCCACTCCCCCCACTCCCCCCACTCCCCCACTCCCCCACTCCCCCCACCCACTCCCACTCCCCACTCCCCCCACTCCACCCACTCCACCCACTCCCCCCTCCCCCCACTCCCCCCACTC